AGCCGTGAAGAAAGAATTGCTTTGACAAGTTTCACACTTGTCAACTTTTGCTTGTCTGTGTTTTTTGACTGAACAGCAATAAAGTGAGATCTGTAGTTCGCAACAATGCGACGTTCTCAACCGCTGGCAATACTGAACTGCACACGACCAGAAACATGTCTTTCTAGCAAAGGACACAACAATTGGCATTTTTATGATACGCGAAAGGATACTTTAACCATAAAAAAGAGACAATCGCGGTAAAAAAATAGGCCCAGCTACCCGAGGCGCGCTCTAGCAAGGTTTTCCAGAAACAGCAGAATTCTCTAGCAAGTACAGTATGGGACAAAACAACGTGAACATAATAATGAGACGAAGAGACGGTCTGAAGAAAACCGAGAACTTTTCAAACGAAAGTCAGACCTGACGATGCCTTTAATTCCTTAGACCATGGGCCATAGAAGGGAGAAAATCATAAAAGCAGCGAACAGGACAGAAGATTTCAGGACCAAGATCTTAATCCGCCACCTTCACCCCAACCCGCTGAGCTATTCTACCCACTGTTTCTGACTCGGGCGATGATGACATCGGTCGCGTAGGAATGAAGTAGGTCAGTGGGGACAAACAAGCAACGCTCCCCGTCACATGCTGGGCTGTTTCTGCGCAGGTGCGACGAAGACCTTTTACTGAGTCAGCTTTGTCCAATCAATATCGCCACTCTCTCTTCTCCTCGTTATGTGCATGTGCGTGAAACAAGTCGGATCCAAATCGACAGGCATTATTAAATTTTATACGGGGAAAAGAATTTGCGTCTTGTGTTCAGAACGGTCCATCGGCGATTCCTGAAACCGGATGATGACAATTCTACATCACGTGTCTAATTCTGGCGCAATCTGGTAAGCCGACATCTGACTCACGCCAAACGCAACGCGTCTGACCAAGGCAGGCAGGCATTCGGCATGACGAACAAAGAGAGCTTTATCGATTTCCTCGAAAAATGGCTCATCGCATGAAAATCGATACATGACACAGAGCTTATGAAGACCTAAACCTTCGTCTGTAGCGCCCTTAGAAACGGTGAAGATAAAACAAAACACACACAAACGGAAATCAGGGTTCTGCAATCCGACAGATTTACAACACATTCGTTCACGTTCCATCCCACGATGCATAAACCGAGGTCTGAACCAAATACTTTCGCTTTTCAGAGTTCCATATTCTGTCAGAACATTTTGTTGGGCTTAAGTGGCCGGTCTCCCGCAGTTCCTGAACCGGTATCAAGGGTGACGATCCAGCCAGTCGTGATTAGAAGAAACTGACGTCACGACCCACAGATGACAGACCATCGGTGGCTGGAGTTGTGGTTGGCAGCACTGCCGTTCCCACGGTACAGGGCGGGTCGGCGGTCCAGTTTATAACCCCGGGGTGACACGGGTTGGTCACGCAGGCAGCTCAAAGGGGGGTAAGTGATTTACAGCTTAACAGCACCGACACCTCGAAAAGCCATCACTAAACATCTTCCAGGTCACATGGTCACAATCTGTGTTTCTATAACAACAATTTTTTTCCCCACCTGTAATTCCTTCTTACGTGGTCTCGTCCGTTCTGGTTTTCCAACTAAAGCTTCGTATGCATTCTCATATTTTCTGCCCCGCCCAATTCACCCTTCATTTATTACCCTACTCCAAGAAATACGAACACACCTCAGAATTAATTGTTTAAACAAAAGAATAACGTATGAGTTGTAACGTGCAACAAGAAACTACGAATTTACGTCGTGTGTATTGACATAGGTGCATGATCACTGCCTCTTTGATTAAATAAGTGTCTGAGCAGAGACCATCTGCAATCGATTATACACATTTCAACAATAAAACAATTCAATGCCCAAGAAACATTACTGATAAATGAAACTCTTAACGTAATACGTACACATACGAAGCGTCCGCTTTGGTTAGTCGATGTTTTCAGATGAGGGCTCTCCAAAATCCTTACGAACTAATTCAAATTCGACGATGAATGCTAACCACGTTTCACTTTCACATCCATTCCTTACAACAGCAGACACACTGAAACGAAAGGCCTTTCATTCGTGATCTACTCTGTGCTTCTAACAATGAGGCAGAACTGTTCGTTACGCTTGAAAACTCGTTACTGTTCACACGCAATAATGCAATTTCGCAGCCTTCGGAAGCCTGATAACAAATCTTTAAATTTTCTCGATATATGGGCAACGTTAGCTTCCCAGCAACTGGTCGTACGTTAGTCTGGTAGATGTATACCGACGTTTCAGAGGCGTCTGCTGCATCTACATGTGTAAAAACTTCCTTTAGCTAACAATCAAAATTAATCGAAAACTCTTTAACCACAAGTATATAATACAAAAATAACAAAACAAAACAAAGTAACAGCGCGTATAAGAAAAGGCAAATTTCACGTCCAGTGTCAGATCTACGTACGCAGAGGCCAAGCTGATATGAGCTACGGCTTACGGGACACTATATAACCTCAAATCTTACACTATCTAATTACATACACCTTTGATTACAAATTACGCAGCGGAACCGGAACCATTGTTTGGTTGATGCTAGTTCATTCAACAGTTCATCACCGTACTTTTGTAGGCCATCAAAGCAAGTCTACAACTGACTCCACGGAGACAGTTCTTCATCATTACCGTGTTCACAAAAGCACTAAACCTAGCCTAACCCCAGCTAGGAGACTAATTTAGTCTTCACCCAAACTACCTATTTCAGATCCACTTTAATATTATACTTCCTGGAGGTCCGATAAAATCCTAAATTTACATTGTTACGAAAATCTAAACTTAGTACATTTCTCGAAACAGCTCATAGCAGAAACGTGATCATGTGCGTAACAAATGACGCACGGAGACCAGCGACAAATGCAAGACGGGGAAGTTTGTGTAGAAGACTCGAGACTTTGGGGCGACACAATGTGAGCCATACCGGACCACAGTGAATGTAGTATCGACAAGACATCAATTTGTTTCGGGAACATGAACGGGTAGGCAGAACTGAACGACAGCCCGGGGGCCCGGCACAGTCAGTGACACCAGAGTAGATCGAGAAATACGAGAAAAAAAATGGTTGTCTTCTGGTAGGTTGCGCTCTGAGAACCTGAAATCTCGCCTCATGAGGAAAATGGTAAGTAAAAACCTAAAAAACCAACGTAGATATAAAATACGCAGAATAAATAAGGAAATTAAAACAGAGCGATGGTTAGGAAAACTGGAAGTTTCGACAGAGGGACTAGCGGGTTGCATAACACAGGGAAAATTTCCGAACGATCAATTCATCGCAGACCTAGAGAACACGCGTTGTCGTGTCGCTAATGAGGGGTTTGCCCACCGTTTCGTTCTAGCGAGAACCACGGACATACGGAAACTTCTCTGAACTTTGACGTCACGGGCGCAGGCGAACGGGATGAGGAGTGGGGGGGCTGCGTGAACCATCAGGTGGGCCTGCGTGTGACACACGCCTCTTCGAGTTCAAAATAACCAACTGCGTGCGAGCAGGCGATACAACTTGGAGCTCCGTAATTATTTTTAGCCACAATTGTCCCTGACCATCTATGTACGAGTACGCACGTCTGACGCTCCGTATCTGGAATTATCCCTGAATTTCGAGCCCAATATATGACTCGTGCGGCCCAACACTTACTTACGTCCAACTGAGCGCCGTCGACCTAAACTACAGTCGACTCAAAGTTCCAGTACGATATCGACAGATCGATTCTCTCGAACTTTGTATGTGACGCAACAATGAAGACTAATTTCTGGGAGCGTCAGTTGGAGTGATGAAGTGACAATGCCGGGGGGAAGGGGGTTAGGATGGGCGTGATGTGTAGCAAGCAAGGGAGACACGAGAAATAAACACAGAATTTCGATCAGGAAGCCTGAAGAAAATGGACAAGTCGGAAGACCGAGGCATTGAAATGATAATAAAATAGATATTAGGGAAATATGGCCTGGATTTATCTACAAATGCAATGAACCTTCGGGGAAAACCTCAGAAACTCCAAATCATAAATGTAAAATACAAATATTCTTGGGTGGTTCCACCTACCCTATCAAAGAACACGCAGGATGTGGGTAAACGCAGTCATCGGAAGCAGAAACTTGAAATCTACGGCCATTACCCGTGACCTCACACAATGAAGAGAAACACGACCCCATGTTTCAAGTACCTTCTGGTACAGTACGAGCCCTTCTTGACCCGACAACCACATAACTCATATCACGCGCTCAGATTTAACACGGCCCCCTTTGACATCACGTGAAGAATACCCGACAGAATTCCTTTCTCATCAACCATTCCAGGACTTCTGCATTCAGAAGCGTAGCTCTCCTTTTAAAATTAAGTATAGCGTGTCCCAAAAAATATGTAAACAGAATGCCGACTTATGAATGGTTCTGCGCATACATATTATTGGGACACTCTGTATACCAAACAAGCACTGGACAAGGGACTGCATTGCTACCAACCTTCAGCAGGTAAAGATAATAATTTTCTACTTACACTCCGCTGCGCGTCCGCAGTCCTCCCTGCAAGCCGACAGGCACCTAGAGAACACACGTCCGATAGGTAGATATATATGTATTTAGAAAAAGAATAACACATAGGATACAGGCCAATCTATAGAACAAGGCACACAATAACACGTCGCCGCGGCGGGACGGAGTTCAGAACATGATCGGCTTGTCTTTGCACTGGTCGATGACGTAGGCTGTGAAGCGCTTGAGGAACTTTGGGTACTCCCGTTTATACACGGCCCGCAGCACCGACGCGGGTGCCCAGCCGCCAGGGTTCACTGCAGAAACAAGAACACGGTGAAAATGGAGACCTCACTTCATCTAGCGAACATTATCCGAATCGTCAGACTCTTTTCCTGGCGTTCGTGGAATTTGAATTGCACATTTTCCAATCCAGCCAATCTCAACAAAGAATTCACAGAACTCTCTACGCAAATTGACGTCGCCACCTCAGCACTTACCGACGGAACAGTAAGTGATCTTGCACGTGATATCATCACGGGTGATTGGGACTCCTTCTTTAGGCGGGTCAATGAACGTCTGGCAGACCAGACAAACCGTGAGGCTCACTCTAACGCATTTGCCGTTGTTACTCTGCCGGAAGGAAAACGCAAAGTTAGACGAGTCCTTCAGAAATCAAACATTTCATGGCACAACAGCACTAAGACCTCCAACTTGTAACCATTTTAAGAATCATTACGTTTTCCTCAGCTGCGCTCTTGTCCAACCAACGGGGCTCCTCGTTTCAGCGTAAAGAAGCCAAGGGCCAAGCCACTTACGTCCATCTCGTGAAGAGGTTAAGAAACTGTGGAGATTTACCCTAATGTTCCCTGAACGCCTTCACGAAGAAGTCGTCGCTATTACGGTTACTCACCTGCACGGACTGCAGACTTCCTGCGCCGTTCATAGGCCCAGGTCTTAACTTCCCTACAGAGAATATACAAATACCAAAAGCAATTTAATGTGATGCTGAGGTCAAAGGGGAAAGTAGTGTTCTTCAGCTGGCGAAACCAAACTCACTGGAAAGCCTGGGTTCTCGGTCGAATGGTTGCAGACGATCCATATGTCATGTCCGTCGCGGTCGTTGTGATCTGGCACTTGTCGCATGTGCGACCAGAAAAGGGAATCTCTCTGGGATGCAGGCCAGATGCGTTTGTGGACCTGCAGGAAGACCAGCGTATCGTCCGCTATCGTCTCTATGACCGTCATCTGCTCGACTGTGGCTGCCGACACACAACGTAAAATGACAACAGTGACTCAAAACGTTTCGGACTCTTCACGCGAAGCCGCGCGGCGTCCACTTACTTTCCCAGTCCATTCGTACGTCTGGCGAGAAGAAGTAGTGACACATCTCGTGGCCAGTCACGCCACGCACCACGTGACATGCCTTCAGGGGATCCACGACCATGCCGTTCACCTCCTCCTCTCGCTTGTACATTTTCATCTCACCGTCCTCCGCAAACAGCTGCCAGCCGCCCTCCCCCACGCCCAGGCGGGCGTATCGTAGCTGTTCCATCGAGATGCGGTCGATCTGAAACGTGCAGATGTTCATCATTCTCCTGGCTGTCCTGACTAATTCTGGGTTATGTAATGATGCTTCATCAAATGCACAGGTTACATAGCACTGAATCGTAGGATGACTGTGAATGATACAGAAGTCAGTGAGCACAACCTCACTGCCAGCACTTGCATGGAGGGACCAAGGAAAACCATGAACACACTCGATTCCCAGGCTGAGATCAGAACATGGAACCTCAGCCCACTGCATGCTGTTCTCTGTCGCACTACAGTTGCACCAGCACCATTAAATAACCAAAGAATTTTTGATTCGCAAGCAGCGGCCGTCTGACCGGCTCGCCGCGGCCGACGGATACCTCACCTCTGGCCACAGACGATGTTGAGACGCTTTTGAGAGACCCTTGCAGGGCCCAGCCCCCACTTGCTGCTGTTGCTGCTTTGTTTTCAGCCTGTCATGCAATTCCAGCTCCTCGTCCATTTTATCCAGGCCTGTCTCCACTGCGTCATAGAACTCTTCATCATTCAGAGCGCTGTGTGGGCCCTCCTGCAACAGGCAGAACATCACAGTGAGCCACAAGAAAGAAAACAACACTGAACCTTCCCCATCCCCGCAAAGCAATCTACCTCGTAGTCCGGACTGCCGTGTAATGCCAGTCTATGCGTCGCCGCCTCCTGGCGTGCCGTCCGATACATCTCCTCAATCTTGTGCTTTCGTTCCACCTCTCGTTCAAGCCGTCGCCTCCACGTGTCTTCTCGCTGTCCTACCAGTTCCAGACAGTGTTGCAGGGTGGCCAATACACCCGCTGTAGTAGCTTTGAATGTCATCGCCTCCCCTTTGAAGTCGATGGCGTGGGCCCCGTGCCGTGCCGCTATGTCCGATCCTATACTGCAGGCAGTACAACTAGCATTCTCACAGCATGATGGCAGCACTGAAAAGATTAGAGATATAAGGGTCATGAGCAGTTCATTCACAAAGATCACACATTTTAAAACTTCCTGCGCTTAACCACCGTAATGGGCACCGATTTAAACCCTTCTGTTGCTAACTGAAACTAGACACACTGTGCGTTTTAACATGTCTGAAAAATACGGGGCTGATATTTCAATGTGTCCTGTGAAATGGTGAGGTTTAGTGGTGGTGGTGGTACTGAACCCCTGGGTTCCATAAGTAAAGGAAAATTCGTGACAGAAGCAGCGAGCCGTAGGCAAAGAACAAATTATCCCTGTGCTGAAATAAGCACCATCCCATGGCAATATATATGGTGGAGTGGAGGTACAGCTCCACGTATTCTTAATCGAAGCACTAAATGTAGTTTCACAACCAAGCAGCTTTACCAT